TAGTGAGTAAATAGAATGACCTTAAAGAAGTAGATTGTAAAGGCTAACTTCATTCATAACTTTAATAGCAGGTATAATAGAGAAATTGGCCATGAGTCATTGCATTAGACAACTAACGGCTAGAAAGGCGGTTTCCAAGAGCTAAGAGCTCGATTCTACAGACACAAATAGTAAATACACACAACACACGCGCACACACACACACACAACAACATTACACACACACACTTACCAGACCAATTATTATTCTGGGTCGAAAATACGTGATTGTTTTCGCAAATGGTTAATGTCGTCTGTTATTTGTTGATAATTATTTACATCCATTGCACGTTGTTTTCGAGCAGCAACTGACAAGGTATACCGCTGCGGTACTCCTCTTGTGGGAAGGCTGCAACTTGCTAGGTATACCACCCTCTCGTTGAGACAACAATATCGGGGATACTGCATAGAATTAGGTTAGGTTTGGTGAAGTTAGGTTGCTTCAGGTTATGACAGGCGTAATGCGGGTTGGATAGGGTAGGTTTAACATGGGTTGGTTAGGTTAGAATAGATTTAACATGAGTTAGTTAAGGTAGAACAGGTTTAACATGGGATGACAGATAGGTTTAAAACGGGTTGGTTATGGTAGGGTAGGTTTAACACGGGTTTGTTTTGGTTAAGATAGGTTTAACACGGGTTTGTTTTGGTTAAGATAGGTTAAACTCATTCTGTTAAGTTAGGATATGTTTAATGGGGCATGTTTAATAAGTTTAATTAGGTCAGCAGCTACAAATTTCCTATATATATTGTTATTATGGGATTTAGGACTACGAGAAAATACTGGAAACGGTTAGGTTATTCAGCGCCGTGTGTGTACTCACCTAGATGTGATAATTGAAGTGTTTGTGCGTGCGTATGTGCGTGCACTTATCTAATTAGTATACAGCTATTGATGGGGTAAGGATTGACCATTAACTGTTAGATCCTGTAATTTCAGTCTCCGGTTGTCTAATGCAATTAGATCATCGTCCATGGGGATGAAGGTGCTTGTGTGTGAATGTGCTTGTGCGTGTGTGTGTGCGTATGTATATGTACGTGCGTGTGTCCGTGTGTATGGGCGCATGCGTGCGCGTTTACGTGCACGTCTTTGTGTACAGAAATAGTGTATATGATGTCCCAATTAACAGAAAGACTCGTGCATCTGGCACCTTACGATTGACGTCACGCCATTTCCTGCCGAAATTCCTCAGCAACTTCAAAAGAACATTTTGTTGCCAAATATGAAAGCACAACGCGATGTTTATAGAAACTACTATACAAAAAATCATTTTTATTCTGATACATGCATGCAATACTCGTGTTTGAGACTAATATATAAGAATATTTTAGTGTATGGATTCGCATGGGAACTTCCGACCAAGTGACCTACCACATCTTGCATGAGACAGGAGCTTGCTGACGTCATTGCAGAAATACAGCTATTTAAATTGCCTGTAATGCGTGCTATTATTCTTACTTCGTTGAAGACAACCAGAACAAGTTTTGCAAATATTTTCAGACATAATATTTTCGGATTTAACTTATCACGGGAGGATGAGTGTGTAGAAACTGAATATATTTATTAGTTTAATTTGGTTTCATACCAGCCGGGGACAGATTTTTAGAGACTGTAAGACTTTTAGAGCCAGACTGTTAGACTTATCGAGGTTCCCCCTAGGCTAATGCCTGACCTTCCTCAGGATGCACCAGCAACTTACCTAAATTGCCAGGTACGAATTTACTGCAAGGTGAATAGAGGAATATTTGGTATTGGAAAGGAAGAAGCAATGAAAGTAAACCCAAAGATTATATTTAATGAGTGCAGAAAACTTATGTAATATTTTACAGGAATAAATATCAGTATTACTCGTCTGTCGTTGTGAGAAGGATTGGTTGGCTTTGAATGAAGGTTTTCCTATATGCAGCTGTTGTGTACACTCTTGACAGGTGTTGAATAAATACTCAGTTATAGGTATTGTGTTCTTAGTAATATGTGTTGAGTCTTTACTCAGTTGCAAGTGTCGAGTCCTTACTCAGTCAAAGGTGTTGAGTCCTTATTGTGTATTAAAAATCGTTTTCAATTTATGAATATATATTATTATATATATTGGAATTTTGTGAAAAGTTAGGCGTAGGTTAGGTTAGATTAGGTGTTCAGATTCCGTTGGCAATTACTTGTATTTGTTGTACGGTGGTGATGTATATATATAGTTGCAATTCTAACATAGAGAGGAAAGCAATGTTCGAGAAAAGTTCGAACGTTATGAGTTGTTTGTAAAATGGTTAGTGCTTATAGCTCTGGGAGGAGAACGGGTTGTTGGGAACCGTTTTAGATTACCATAGGCAAGGGAGAAGAGTAGACATAGACTAAGCTATTCTGTCCTTCTGGGATGTATAGATATATATATTATTATCTCAAAAAGCGTACTTGAACTCGAACCACAAGCAACCCATCTTTAGGCTGTGATCGTCCAAGCTGCAGCCACTCCTAATGGATTAATGTAATCGTAAAAGGTATTTTCTCAAACATAATATTATTATTATTATTACAGAGTATACTTAATATTATTATAAAGTATAATTTTATGTAAAGTTAAGCGTATGGTAGGTTAGGCTAGATGTTTCATTTCTATTGACACTTATTCAACCCATACCTAGGCTCTGTTCGTCTCAGCTGCAGCTGAGCGAATCGAACCCAGGATTACTAATTATGAATCCAGAACGAAGTCAACTGTACTTCGAAACCCTCATATTGTTAGACTATGCATAGTTAAAATTAGGTAAGTTATATTATATGTTTTCGTTAGGTACATAAAGGTGTGTTTGTAGAAAAGACTTGATATGAATGAAGCCGTTCTCGAGTCACTGCTACGAACAGTCAAGTGGATAAAGTAGATTTTAGTAAGTATTTGACTAATTTGCTGTGAATCCGATGGCCCTTTACTTTAATGATAAGTAAAAATTACTATATAATCATATAAAATGACAATATAATCGTAATATAATAATAATTATATTATTATATAGTAATAAAATAATAATTATATTATTATATAGTAATATATAATTATATTACTATATAATCGTCCAACATGAGGTGAACAAAATTCCTCCAAAAAATCTAAAATGCGGAAGGAATGCCATGAGATGAATAATAAATTGAGATTTCTTGATAATATATATTTTTGAGACACTGACGATCACTCAAACATCATTATAGTCTATTGTGAAAAATTATTTAAAAGTGACGAATAAGAAAAGCTAGAGTAATTCATTTATTAGAATAACAATATTGTTACTCCTTGTACAACAATACCTCCACTCTTGTATAACAATACCACTACTCTACACGTTATTTTATACTTGTGCTCTCTTATGAACTCATGTTGAGCTGATTTATATAGTTGTTAAATAAAAATATAACATTTCAGTAAATATAGTAAACAGCGTATGATTACACAGGAGTGAGCAGCACCCTGATAACGCGTCAGATTGATGTCGACCGTTGTACAGAGGTGGTCGCTGGTCGTAGTGTGTATTGGTCTCTCTTACCAGGACGAATGCAAAATAGAGTATTGTCTATATCCTCGGTTGAAAGTACCTGTCTAAAGCCCGTATAGAAGATGTCTAACTTTTATGTGTAATGTTAATTCCTGACTAAACTTTACGATGAATGAGGACAATTCTCTTGAAAAAAGGTCTCGAACTAGTAATATTTAGAGATATTTGGAGAAGTAAATAGATAAAGACATATAAGCTACCTTTCATGATTAGCATTCTCTTATATTTGGTTTATTTATTATTTTCAATGATAATAATGCAACGGAAAGACTCATATCGACAATTGTATCAATTCTTGTTATCTTGATTTTTTTCTTAAGCTAAGAATTGTAAGATTAAAAGTTTCAATAGCGGGTTAAGGATTACATACTGTGAAAGGCATACCCAGTTTCTTGCTATATATGTTCTGAAAGTTTGTTTTTGTCCTGGACTATGTTCAGGACTCAAACATACTTGCTAGTTGGTCAGTAAACTATTTGTGGTAGCCTTAACAACCCTCCAGAGATTGTTAGGTCTTAAGCTTTTAATCAAGAACGCAAGAGTAGTTGCAACAGACTTACCTCAATAGAATCGTTCTATAAAACTATAAAAAATCGTTATGGGAATACAAGTCTTTTCTGTCATTTGTGCTGATACTACGAAGTTCGTTATTGATGAAGACTTATCTACAAAGCAAATAAGCTTACATTTTTAGCGTTTCATTTGAAAATAATGTTTTTTACAATTATGATTTTGTGCCTTTGATAAATGCTTACCCCACTCATGTCTCTGCATGCCAAAAAATCCCTTTGACCAGTGTATTAATTATTAATTGTTAATTCATATCTGTACAGATTAAAATGATAATTGGAGGAGATATGTAGAGTTCAGGTTGTTTTGTAGTTCAGTTAATTACAACGTGATATGATACACCAAGATCCGAGCATACGGGTTTCTGGAGAAATTAATATCCAGACTCTCGGAGGATTCATAGAACTGTTGGGAACTATAACATGGCCGTTCATCAACCAGTCCTCATAAATAATGGCCAAGTGCTCGTTGATCCAGCCGCGATCGCCTCCTAACTGCTTATGAAGAAAAAGCTATTTACTCAACTCACAATTTGATGGAGTTCGAACTTTTCAAAAATCGTGCTTCTCTGACTGTTTATGTTCGAATCGCCCTACTTGGTTTGGACTGTGGATGGGTTGCATTTGTATTTAAGTTATTTTTGTTTTGAACAAATAAACGGGGATCATACCGACCTTAGCGGGTTGTAATTCACGGCCCAATAGATGCCACAACCGGCTTTAATTATTCTTACCATTATATTAGCAGGACACTACCACACAGGTTTCCACCTCACGGATATTAAGTCAGTGATAATGTGGACCTCCACCCACCCTCCGCAGAAAAACGAATCATATGAAGTTTTTGCTCGTCGCGGGAAGCAATTTTGCCTTGGCGAAATGCCCATACATGAGTATCAATCATACAGAAAACGTCCAGATCACCTAATAAATGGTCTCAAACTTCTCCCACTTCCCTCTTCTTTAACGTTAAAAACTCGGAAATAAAATATCATGACTCTTAGTGGATCATACAATATTGAATCACATTTAATTCTATATGACAGAGCAGCGGGGTGATACTCTGGTCGACTCCCCCTGGAGGTCGATCAGACGGAAGTCTCATAAATGACAACCCGAATGACTTTTCTCTCTCTGACTGATGGCTGCAGGAGCCCGGTGTCCTCAAAGGGGCTCAGGAAGGTGGAGTCGTCTCTGTCCTCTCCGTTGAGGTGCGCCTTCAGGAGCTCGACGATCCTGGCATCGTTCGTCAGTTTAGGATCCAACTTCGATAAGGCTTCTAGTCTGGTGCTCAGCTGAATGGCACTACGAAGGTCCTGAGGGTCAGAGCAGATTGGGGTGACTGGAAGTAGTGCCACAGCTGTAGGGAGGAACAGTGAGTAAAAAAAAAAAGATCGGAAGATAGAAAGGGGGGGAAAAGAGATAGGAAGATAGAGAGAGGGAGAGATATAGGAAGAAAGAGAGAGAGAGAGAGAAAGGTGGGGGGACCTGTGCGTGTGCATGTATCAGTAGGATAATTTTCTTCCTATGAAAGCAATCGGTCTAATTTAACAAAAAAATAATGATAATTTCATAACTATTCAAATCCACACGGAACCCAGATTAACCTTACTTATGTTATTTTCTCTCAGTAAACAAAATGAATTGCATGACAACTCATAGTACCTGTAAAGCACCATCACCTTTGAGGCGTTTCGAACCCGGGATCGCTAGTCTTTCTTGCTAATGCTAAAGCCACTCTGCCATCATTTATTTTGTATGTAAGTACCTCTTTGTTAACCTCCATTAACATTGCCTGCCTCCTCTGACCTCCATGTGAAGAGACAACCAGCAGGACCACTGTCAAGTAGAATCCCGTCAAGAAATAAACTTGTTAAACAGGAAACATGTCAAGTTGAACCCATGTCAAGAAGGACCCCTGTCAAGCATAAACCCTGCCAAGTAGAACCCCTTGTCAAGAAGAGCCCCTTGTTTAAGCAGGATTCCTGTTGAACACTGCCCCTTGTAAACCTGTCAAGCAGAACATCTCGCCAATCAGAACCCCTTGTCAAGTAAGACCTTTGTCAAAGAGAACCCCAGTCAAAGAGGACTCGTATCGAGCAGGACTTACCTTTAGGTCCTTCATGAGGTGAACGTCGATGTTGATATCTCCGGCCTGTTCCCCAAGGCGTCTCAAGTGATCTGCCAGAGGTCCGGACAGCTCCCCCAGGCGTCCGCTCAGCTCCTGCAGGAGGACCAGTTGCTCGTAGGTACCTCACTCAGTTATGGCCTCAGTTGTGGTCACCACATTCAATTGAGGCCCTCACACTCAATTGGGGCCCCTCACACTCAATTGGGGCCCCTCACACTCAATTGGGGCCCCTCACACTCAATTGGGGGCCCTCACACTCAATTATTGATATCACATTATGACAATTATAGGGCCTACTTTTATTAACCTGTATAGGACCAGGTTTAATGGTTGAACTTAGCCAGTATGCGAGTGTTGCTGACCTTCCAGTTTTGTTTCTGACCTTCTGGTGTTACCCCTTGACCTTCTAGTGTTTATCCTGACTTTCAAGTTCTCCTCATGACCTTCAAGTTCTTCTCCTAACTTTTAAGTTCTTCTCCTGACCTTCAAGGATTGATTCTGAGCTTCCGGTGCCGCTCCTGACCTTTTAGTACTCACCTAATTGTGTTTGTGGGTGTTGAGTTTCGGCTCTTTGGTCCCCGCCTCTTATTTATAAATCAACTGGTGTATAGATTCTTGAATCTATTGGGCTCTATCGTATCTACATTTGAAATTGTGTTTGGAGTCTGCTTCTATCATATCACTGCCTAGTTCATTCAATTTGCTAACTACTCTGACACTAAAAATGTTCTTTCTAATGTCACTATGGACATTAGAGTTTGTTCTTTCTATTGCGTCTATAGACATTTGAGTTTGTTCTTTATAATGTCTCTATGGACATTAGAGTCTGTTCTTTCTACTGTCTCAATGGACATTAGTCTGTTCTAATGTCTGTATGGACATTAGAGTATGTTCTCTCTAATGGTGCCGCTGGTGGCGTGTGAACTTACCTTCATCTGCTGCCAGCTTTCAGCGTACTGTCTCCTGACGAGTTCTATGATGGTGGAGGTGAGGGCGAGGCCGATCAGGATGTACAGGGTACACACCAGCATGAACTCCGTCCTCTCTGTAACCATGAATATATATGTACACATTCGTACATGTATTCTTGCATTCATACATAAATTTTAATATTTATACTTATATATACACGTACGTGCTATTGTATAGGGTACAGTTGCTGCCTCTTTTTTTACTTTTCAGAATGGGTATAAGTATGTGTGTGTGTGTACTCACCTAGTGTGTGTGTGTGTGTGTGTACTCACCTAATTGTGCTTGCGGGGGTTGAGCTCTGGCTCTTTGGTCCCGCCTCTCAACCGTCAATCAACTGGTGTACAGATTCCTGAGCCTATTGGGCTCTATCATATCTACATTTGAAACTGTGTATGGAGTCAGCCTCCACCACATCACTTCCTAATGCATTCCATTTACTAACTACTCTGACACTGTGTGTGTGTGTGTGTGTGTGTGTGTGTGTGTGTGTGTGTGTGTGTGTGTGTGTGTGTGTGTGTGTGTGTGTGTGTGTGTGTGTGTGTGTGTGTGTGTGTGTGTGTGTGTGTGTGTGTGCTTACTATTTGTGTCTGCAGAATCGAGCTATTAGCTTTTGGACCCACCTTTCTAAGCAATCTATTTTTCCTCTATTATTTCTGCTACATATATTTCTCTCTAACACACACACACACACACACATACATCCACAGGAAGCAGCCCGTAACAGCTGTCTAACTCCCAGGTACTTATTTACTGCTAGGTGAACAAGGGCATCAAGGTGAAAGAAACTTTGTCCATTTGTTTCCGTCTCAAGCTTTGGGCAACTTAGTACATCATCTTAGTGACGTCGTAAATGCTAGAGAGAACGGGCTGGTGATTATGTATTGAGAGACTCGCGGACAGAATATCGCGGGAGACATCTCCCGTCACGCAGGGTGCAGTCGCATCTCCACAGGTCTCCAGTATCAGCTCTTAATACTGGTAATGGCTCAAATGGACCACCACTTACGGGCTATTCATGCCCGTGCCACCTTTTGGGTGGCTTAATCTTCATCAATCAATCAATCAACAGAATAATCACAATCATCTCACCAGGTACGAGATCACCAAGACCTATGGTGGTCATGGTGATGAAGCAGAAGTAAAAGGCTTCGAAGAAAGTCCAGTCTTCCCACAGGATAAAGATGGCTCCCCCGACGGCGATGTAGAGAAGTAGGGCCGCCACCGCCCCAAGTACCACCATTCCGCGAGACCCTCCCTTCGCTCGCAGCCTCTGTGGTGGTAGTTGGTTGGTTGATTCCGTGTGTGCTAGAGGGAGGGTTGCTGGGGTCGAGATTAGTTGTGGTGGTGGTTGGTTGTCGTGGGGGGTTGGTTGTGGTGGAAAACTGGTCATCATGCAGCCAGTTCGAAAATATTGTGTGATGGTGATGGTGGTAATGAGACACGGGGTTTATAAGTCTAGTCGGAAATAACAGTTATTACTGTAACGGAGGAAGTTATTACTGTAACTATTTACTGCTAGGGAGAAAGAAACTTTGCCCATTTGTTTCTGCCTCGTGCGGGAATCGAACCCGCGCCACAGAATTACGAGTCCTGCGCGCTATCCACCAGGCTACGAGGCTACCATAATAACAGAAGCAATACCAAGGTAAATAAAAACAAAAGAATCCGAAGGAGAAGTAAGAACAACAAGAGCAGTATAAAAAGTAATAACAAGAGCAGTAAGAGAAGTAACAACAATAAGAATAAGAATAACATCAACAAGAGCGGTATGAAAAGTAACAAGAAATGTAGTAAGAGAAGTAACAAAAAGAACACAAAGAAAGGAAAAACAAGAGGAAAATACAAAGAAAATAACAGTAACAAGAGCTGTAAGAGAAATAATAACAAGAATAGTAAGAGAAGTAACAAGAGGAAAAGAAAGAGAAGTAACAATAAGAACAGTAATAACAAGAACAGTAAGAGAAATAAGACAAGAGTCGTGGAAAGAAGGAAAGTAGTGTGAATAGATTCCAGATAAGCATATGAACGGTATTTGTGTCGACTAACAACCAAGTTCCTAATTACTGCTGTGTGCAGGAGACGCGCCTGTGTCTGTGTGTGTGTGTGTGTGTGTGTGTGTGTGTGTGTGTGTGTGTGTGTGTGTGTTGTGTGTGGCTCTTTGTACTCACCCGTAGTCTGGTCGTACGAGAGTGTGTGAGCCACGGCTCTTGGGTCCCGCCTCTCAGCTTAATCGACTGGTATGATAGGTCTCCAGAGCCTCTCATACGACTGGTATATAGGTTCCAGAGCCTATTGGTTTCTGTCGTGTCTACATTTAGAGACGTATATGGTATAGTTTACCTCTACCACTTCATCACTCTGCCCATTACAATTGTTCACCACTCGGGCACTGACAAAAAATTAATTCTAATGGATAAATTAATTAAAATGATTAAATAATAAATTAATTTATTTTGTGGCTAATTTGATAATTTAATTTCAACGTGTCGTCTTGTTCATGTACTTCCCCAAGTAAATAATCTCTCCTGTCTATTACCACGAGTATTACATATGAGGAAATCTTTCTCACATCTGCAGTTTACTTCTAAACATTTTACTGATTTTACAATTATAATTTTTTATTAAATCTGTGAATCATCTGTGCACTTCGTGTTCACCTGTATCACTCAAGTCCGTGTCCCATAATGTCTCTCTAACCAGTCAGTTTCCCTAAGAATTTTGTATGTCGTCATAATATATATGACAAGGTTTCGTATCCCAGAACAAAATTAATTACACAACTACACTCGCCTTAATCGGGCCGCAGCTCATGGTGAGGATTCCGAAGTGCTTAGAGAGCGTCGACACCAAGTTTGCAAATATTGTTCCCAAGTCAGCAATGACGGTGAGGGTGACGGGGATGCCCACGAAGCCGTAGAGGATGCAGAAGAAGCGGCCCCAGGCGGTGACTGGCGCCATGTTGCCATACCCTGTTGACAGAAGGGAGAAAAACGCGTGAGAAAATGTTTATCTATTTATATTTCAATGCAAGAACACAGATGAATATTGGGAATAATATAATATACAGAAATGAGTAATACAACGCACTCCCTAATGCTATATATATACAATATAGTCAGACATACAGTCCTGATAATTACTTTAAAATAAACGTAAACAACAAACAAAAAAGTGTGGAGTCGCTGGAAAAAACAAGCCTAAACACCGAACTTGTTTTTGCAAGCTTTTATTGACGGTAGAAGAGTAAGTTTTAAGAGTGCCAAGGGCCGAAGCTTGACCTTACAAGCTCAAGTAGGTGCAAGAGTGGAACATAACACGGACCTATGGTGGTGATGACGGTGGAGGCGAAGAAGACACTTTCGATGTAGTTCCACTGGTAGTGGGGTACCTCAGGCTCCAGGGGCGACACGCCAGCCTCCACCGCAGCTTCCACCGCAGCCTCGTACTGCCGCAGCTCCCTCGACACCCGCTCCTGCGGTCACACCGCCGTAGCGGTTAGAGCGAGGACTGGCCAATGGGGATGTGGTGAGTTAATACACGGTGCGTTATGGCTAGTTTAGTAAGTGCCAATTATCATGGGGGAAATAACAACTACCAGATACATCATTTAGCAGGGAAAGTGTTGTCAAGTAGGGAAGCGTCAACGAGCAGATTTATTATCTTGAAGTGTGAATTAATATGGGTAAGTATCCATTAGCATGGAAAGTGTTAATTAGGAGAAGTGTCAATAACTAGTAAATCACGTGCCAATTAACAGAATTACCAATTAGTGTCAGCAAGCAGAGGAAGAGTCAATTAACAGTGGAAAGTGTCCTCAACCAGGGAACATGCTCATTAGCAGGCGAAGTGTCAACTAACTAGCAGAAGATGCAATAGCTAGGAAGGAAAGTGTTGATTATCAGGAAAGTTGACAAAAATAAAGACAAATATTAAATAACAGAAGTATCATCAGCAGGGTAAGTGAAACAGCAAATAACAATATAGTAAGATAATTAATTTAAAATAATTTGCATACATATTGTGAATCATAAAAACTGTAAATAAACATATGTCGACTTTTTCTTTATATGTTGTACCAGCAAGACGCCTCCATCGCTTGCTTCTGCAATAGACCATGCAATAGAACCTGGCTCGGAGGCACCGCTCCCAGCGCCGCAAGTTCTAACTTCAAGTACCACTCCTGCATCAAGAGGAAACCGCCTCGAACGAGGACAAATCTGAGTACACTCTACCAACAGCTGAGGAATACGGTTCCTTCTACGTGAGCGACGGTAAACCCATTTTACCGCGGAAGAACGACGACGGCGAGAACATATCAACTCACCGGACGATAGACTCCTTACCAACAGACAGGTGAGCGTCATATGTAGCATGAGAAAAGCATCCTTCATATGTAGTATGAGAAAAGCATCCTCCCTATGCTGATTCTGGAAACATACGTCTCCATTCACGTTGCCAGAAAAAACATAACAACTTTTGGATGTGTCGCTCAGGTCACATAGATCACGAAGGCCCAGTGTGTTGCAGTTTAACTTTCCAACCACTGCAACCATAGTTGTAACTAAGTTATCTTACCACTATAGCAAGTTATCCAGAAATTTTACGAGTTATTCTCTCCTATGTCAACCACTCAAGCTGATCAATCTTCACTCTCTATATCTCAACCACTCAAGCTGATCAACCTTCTCTCTCTCATCATATATATATATATATATATATATATATATATATATATATATATATATATATATATATATATATATATATATATATATATATATATATGACGAGAGAGAGAGAACGAAATCCCCGAAATTACAGAATAATTGCATAATCCTCCAATACTTCTTTATAGAACTAAATGTTTCACAGCTCTCATGGAATTGCTCAGAGCTCACCTGGTATTCGAAGTGCGTGTGTGCGCTGATGTTGATGAGGGATTGCATGAAGAGTGTTCGCTGTTCCAAGAGGGTGGTCCCAGCATCTCCCTGAGCTTGAATCTCAGCTGGATGTTCCAGGACCTGGAATATCTAAAGTGGAGGAAATATGAAGACAGGAGAGTTTGGGCAAAATCTGTAATAAGAAGACAGTATTAAATCAGCAGTTCTTTCAAGAGGTCCGCGAATGAAAGCGGGACAAAATTTGGAATGACCATAGGAATAAATAGATGAGTTTTATAACATTGGACAACCAGTAAGGCTTGGCCCCGTGGATATGGTCTGCAACCATGGGAGGACAATCCACCAGCACATGGATGGTGTGGGAAGCAAACTGCTGCGTCAAAAATATGGTGGTAAGCACTGTGAATAGGATGGGGGCAAAATTAAAAAATAATGTTTGGGGTGGGCATGGGTATGGGGGTATTGTGGGTGGGTATGGGATGGGTGGACGAAAGCTGATCACAGTGACTGGGATGAACAGTAAACATACATTGGTCCAACGCGACTGGCGTTGCTGACTCTCTCTCTCTCTCTCTCTCTCTCTCTCTCTCTCTCTCTCTCTCTCTCTCTCTCTCTCTCTCTCTCTCTCTCTCTCTCTCTCTCTCTCTCTCTCTCTCTCTCTCTCTCTCTCTCTCTCTCTCTCTCTCTCTCTCTCTACACCTCTTCTCTTTCCCTTTTTATTCTTTTCTCCCCTCTTTTAACGCTTCTTCTCTCTTTTATCCATCTCGCCCTATGCATTTTGTCTCTTTCCCTCATTCTTTGTTGACCATTCACTTTTTCTATCATCAATATTGCTTTGCTTCCTTTAAAATTTGGCTTGGTGGAAGAAAAATGGGGAAAATAGAATATATATATATATATATATATATATATATATATATATATATATATATATATATATATATATATATATATATATATATATATGTATACAGATAGACAGCCAGGAGCATTATGCATCTTGGCATACCTGATACCCAAACCAGGTATGACCACACTGACTGTACAAAAATCTTGGTAGTCGTGAGACTATTCATCCAAGATCCGACAGCGTTCCGTTCCGTGGTCAATTTGGGAATTGATATTTCATCGAATCACCTCACTTGGTTTGGCCACGTGAGAAACACACGATGAGGGATTTTTTGTGTTGCTCACGAGGCCCCACCAAGTAAGGTGATTCGATGAAATATCTATGCCCAAGTTGACTACCGGGCGCTGTCGGTGGTCAGCTTGGTCAACGGTGGTCAGAGAGAGAGAGAGAGAGAGAGAGAGAGAGAGAGAGAGAGAGAGAGAGAGAGAGATAGACAGACAGACAGACAGACAGACAGACAGACAGACAGACAGACAGACAGACAGACAGACAGACAGACAGACAGACAGACAGACAGACAGACAGACAAAGAGACAGTGACGGACAAAGTAACAGAGAAAGAATATGAGAAAGAACTCTACAAGGGGCACTACGTATAGCAAGGGTTATACAAGCGTGTGTACCTCCCACACACACACAACGAGGGGACGGATTATTTAACACGGGCGGAACACGAACAAGGTGACACAGGAGGAAACTTAGTACCCAAATGAGCCTCAGAGACATTAGAAAGAACTTTTTCAGTGTGAGAGTAGTTATCAGATGGAATGCACTAGGAAGTGATGTGGTGGAGGCTGACTCCATACACAGATTCAAATGTAGATATGATAGAGCCCAGTAGTCTCAAGAATCTGTACACCAGTTGATTGACGGTTGAGAGGCGGGACCAAAGAGCCAAAGCTCAACCTCCGAAAGCATAACAAGGTAAGTACACGCAAGGACAGGAAGGGGGAGGGTTGAGCATATTCTGATGTGACTGCATGAATCCGTGTCAATATATTTTGTGAATTCTTGTAATTTACGTATGAAGCTGGAGACGGGGGTGTGTTTGAGAATGTAGAATAGAGTTAAGGGACAAAGCATTATTAAGGCTCAGTGTTGAGAGTATCACTGGTAAGGGAGGAAGTTAGCGGGTGTTTAATCTGGCAGTCTTCCAGGTGACGTGTTTACAAGTTGAGTTCGAGGAGCTGTCATATGTGTGAGGGACAGACATACATGTATAAGAGACCGGCATGTATGTATGATGTACCGCCATGTGTGAACATTTACTTTTTCTTTCTATATGCAAATACGCATTATTTTATGTGAGGTTATTATTTACCGAAAATATGCCAATTACTGAAAACAGCGATGGGTCATATTTTGCCCAAACCCCCCCCCCCCCTGCAGTTTTCAAAATATCTGAAATGTCGGAAATTTTACTCCTGAACGTGATTTTTGAGCCAAATTCTGACTCTCTGCACCTATTTTTAGTTTCAAATTACGATTTTTATACCGAAAATATGCCAAATTCTGAAAACGGCGATGTGACATATTTTGCCCAAACCCCCCCTGCAGTTTTCAAAATATGTGAAATGTCGGAAATTAGACTCCTGAGAGTGATTTTTGAGCCGAATTCTGACTCTCTACACCTTTTTTTAGTTTCAAATTACGACTGTTTATACCGAAAATATGCCAATTACTGAAAACAGCGATGGGTGATATTTTGCCCAAACCCCCCTGCAATTTTCAAAATATCTGAAATGTCGGAAATTTGACTCCTGAGCGTGATTTTTGAGCCGAATTCTGACTCTCTGCATCTATTTTCAGTTTCATATTACGACTTTTTATACCGATAATATGCCAATTGCTGAAACCGGCGATGGGTCATATTTTGCCCAAACCCTCCTACAGTTTTAAAAACATCTGAAATGTCGGAAATTTGACTCCTGAGCGTGATTTTTGAGCCGAATTCTGACTTTCTGCACCTATTTTCAGTTTCATATTACGACTTTTTATACCGATAATATGCCAATTACTGAAAACAGCGATGGGTCATATTTTGCCCAAACCCCCTACAGTTTTAAAAATATCTGAAATGTCGAAAATTTGACACCTGAGCGTGACTTTTGAGCCGAATTCTGACTCTCTTCACCTATTTTCAGATTCAAATTACGACTTTTTATACCGATAATATGCCAAGTACTGAAAACGGCGATGGGTCATATTTTGCCCAAACCCCCCCTACAGTTTTAAAAAATCTGAAATGTCGGAAATTTGACTCCTGAGCATGATTTTTGAGCCGAATTCTGACTCTCTGCACCTATTTTCAGTTTTAAATTACGACTTTTTATACCGATAATATGCCAATTAATAAAAACGGCGAAGGGTCATATTTTGCCCAAACCCCCCCTGCAATTTTCAAAATATCGGAAATGTCGGAAATTTGACTCCTGAGCGTGATTTTTGAGCCGAATTCTGACTCTCTGCACCTATTTTCAGTTTCAAATTACGACTGTTTATACCGAAAATATGCCAATTACTGAAAACAGCGATGGGTCATATTTTACCCTAACCCCCCCTGCAGTTTTCAATATATTTGAAATGTCGGAAATTTGACTCCTGAGCGTGATTTTTGACTCTCTACACCTGTTTTTAGTTTCAAATTACGACTTTTTAAACCGAAAATATGCCAATTACTGAAAACGGCGATGGGTCATATTTTGGCCAAACCCCCCTACTGTTTTCAAAATATCTGAAATGTCGGAAATTTGACTCCTGAGCGTGATTTTTGAGCCGAATTCTGACTCTCTGCTCCTATTTTCAGTTTCATATTATGACTTTATACCGAAAAAATGACAATTACTGAAAACGGTAATGGGTCATATTTTGCCGAAACCCTCCTGCAGTTTTCAAAATATGTGAAATGTCGGAAATTGGACTCCTGAGCATGATTTTTGAGCCAAATTCTGACTCTCTGCACATTTTTTTAGTTTCAAATTACGAACGTTTTTTACCGAAAATATGCCAGTTACTGAAAACGGCGATGGGTCATATTTTGCCCAAACCCCCCTGCAGTTTTCATAATATCTGAAATTTCAGAAATTTGACTCCTGAGCGTGATTTTTTAGCCGAATTCTGACTCTCTGCACCTATTTTCAGTTTCAAATTACGACTGTTTATACCGAAAATATGCCAATTACTGAAAACGTCGATGGGTCATATTTTGACCAAACCCACAAGCAGTTTTCAAAATATCTGAAATGTCGGAAATTTGACTCCTGAGCGTGATTTTTGAGCCGAATTCTGACTCTCTGCACCTATTATCAGTTTCAAATTACGACTTTTTATACCAAAAATATGCCAATTACTGAAAACGGCGATGGGTCATATTTTGCCCAAATTTCCCTGCAGTTTTCATAATATCTGAAATGTCGGAAATTTGACTCCTGAGCGTGATTTTTGAGCCGAATTCTGACTCTCTGCACCTATTTTTAGTTTCAAATTACGACTGTTTTTTCCGAAAATATGCCAATTACTGAAAACGTCGATGGGTCATATTTTGACCAAACCCACAAGTAGTTTTCAAAATATGTAAAATGTCGGAAATATGACTCCTGAGCGTGGTTTTTGAGGCGAATTTTGACTCTCTGCACCTATTATTATTTTTAAATTACGACTTTTTATACCGAAAATATGTCAATTACTGAAAATGGCGATGGGTCATATTTTGCCCAAACCCACCTGCAGTTTTAAAAATATCTGAAATGTCGGAAATTTGACTCCTGAGCGTGATTTTTGAGTCAAATTCTGACTCTTTGCACCTATTATCAGTTTCAAATTACGACTTTTTATACCAAAAATATGCCAATTACTGAAAACGGCGATGGGTCATATTTTGCCCAAACCCCCCCCCCCCCCTGCAGTTTTTAAAATATCTGAAATGTCGGAAATTTGACTCCTGAGCGTGATTTTTGAGCCGAATTCTGACTCTCTGCCCCTATTTTCAGTTTCAAATTACGACTTTTTATCGAGAAAATATGCCAATTACTGTAAACGGCGATGGGTCATATTTTGCCCAGACCCCCCTGCAGTTTTTAAAATATCTGAAATGTCGGAAATTTGACTCCCGAGCATGATTTTTGAGCCTAATTCTGACTCTTTGCACCTATTTTCAGTTTCAAATTACTACTTTTTATCCAGAAAATATGCCAATTACTGTTAACGGCGATGGGTCAAATTTTGTCCAAACCCCGCTGCAGTTTTCAAAATATCTAGGTAATTCATACTGCCTAATGTATATTATGTATCTCCCAGTGTGAAAGAATATCCAGACTGGAATTTAGTAAATTTGCTAAATGCAGATCCAATCTGTAACCCGTCACCTCTGGACAGGCCTGATGTATACAACTATCCTGCCAACTGAGGCTGTTAATAGGTACTTATCTTACACAACAAATCCTAAACGAGGCTACTGCATATAATGTCGAAGATGAATCCACACAGAGATTATTGCGTCACTGTTCGATGATTGACAATATTTTACGTTAGCTCCACTATTCTAAATCTCAGGTAACTTCTCTCAGATCTCAGGTAAATTCTCTCAGATCTCAGGTAACTTCTCCCAGAACTCAGGTAACTTCTCTCAGAACTCAGGTAACTTCTCTCAGATCTCAGGTAAATTATCTCAGATCTCAGGTAAATTTTCTCAGATCTCAGGTAAATTCTCTCAGATCTCAGGTAAATTCTCTCAGATCTCAGGTAAAGTCACTCAGATCTCAGGTAAATTCTCTCAGATCTCAGGTAAATTCTCTCAGATCTCAGGTAAATTCTCTCAGATCTCAGGTAAAGTCACTCAGATCTCAGGTAAATTCTCTCAGATCTCAGGTAAAGTCACTCAGATCTCAGGTAAATTCTCTCAGATCTCAGGTAAATTCTCTCAGATCTAAGGTAAATTCTCTCAGATCTCAGGTAAATTCTCTCAGATCTCAGGTAACCTCAAACTTGTCATCGAATAACATGACAAATTACCAGGTAATTTTAACTACTGCTAACAATAATACAATTAATATAAGTAATGATATTTTAAAAATATATACTTCTTTACTACTGCTTTGGCTACTACGACCATTACTAACCACTACTCTGACAATTATTACTTTTTCAACTACTACTATTACTACTACTTATATACTACTTCTGATTATAAGTATTGCATCCAACAGAGCACCAAAGTATAAGGACAATTGGAACACGTTTTGAACGCGGGTCTAGGGCTCTCCGAGCAAGCACATGTAGGTGTGTACCTGTAGGTGAGTACTTCTTGGCGAGCACACATAGGTATGCACATCTAGGTTAACATATCTAGATGAGTACATCTAGGTGTGCACATCTAGGTGAGTACATCAAGGAGAGTTCATCTAGGTGAGTTCATCTAGGTAAGCACATCTGGGTGGGGTACATTTTGTACACAATGGCAAACCCAGAGAACATGTTTTACACACACACACACACACACACACACACACACACACACACACACACACACACACGAATGCACTAGGAAGTGATGTGGTGGAGGCTGACTCCATACAGTTTCAAATGTAGATATGACAGAGCCCAGTAGACTCAGGAATCTGTACATCAGTTGATTGACGGTTGAGAGGCGGGACCAAAGAGCCAGAGCTCAACCCCCGCAAACACAACTGGGTGAGTACACAAACACACACACCTACCTTGGCCCCTGCGGCTGTGTAGATCACAAAAAACAGGAAGAGACCCATTTTGTTGGCATAGCTTTTCATACTGGCCGCAAGTGCCGCCCACCTCCGCCCACCGGCCGCCCTTTCAGGGTTCTCGCCGCCCCCGCCACCCACGCCCACCTCCTTGTCGCTGCTCCGACACATTGTGCACTGTGGAAGCAATGGGGTCAATGATTGGGGTCAGTTATTGGGGGTCAGAGATGGGAGTCAATGAAGAAGGTTAATGATGTGGGGTCAGTTAAGAGTGGAGGGTGGTCACTCCCCGCTTTGCAGTATAACACACCCTGTAATACTTCATGCTCAAAAATACACCCTCAGTACACTAAACATTACACAAACAGTACACCACACAGTACGCTACACCCAGTACAAGCAACAACACACACCACTCACTACAACACAAAGACCTGTGCGTTCCTTCACAACCCCCCACAACTATCACCTTAAGAATACTTGTGACATGTTTCAGTAGCTACGCTTAATTAGAGAGAGAGAACCTGCTCACTGCGTTTTACGTCGACCTCGCGTGTGTAAACTACCTAATTGGCAGCCAAGATTGCATGAGCTGATGAATGAAAAAATTTGCTGACCATAACAGCTTGCTTGGTCCCCACTGCTGACACCGGGTATGTATGTATGTATATATTATATATATATATATATATATATATATATATATATATAT